CCTGTACGTTCAGCCAAAGGTAGGGCTTCAATTTCAATGTCAAGCAACTCCAAAACATTTGTATACTGTTTCCAGAGATTGTAGTTTCGCGTTTTGGAATCGCTCTTGCCAGCCTCTTTCTTCCAACTATTTTTGTGTCTGGCGGCCAGTTTCTGGAGACGGAAACGGGTATTCCAGAAGAACTCATACAACTTTTGAAATTATATTAGGAACAGTAAAACAAAGTAACAAGGAATGACGTACTTTGGAAGGAGTTTGAAGAACAGACACATCTGGTAAATCAACTTGAGGAAAGTTCTCCTCATCTTGCTTCCTATCTGCTCGAGGTTTATAAAGTCGAGAGTATCGGATGCATCCCAACTTTTGAAACTGTTCAACTTCTGTGCCTTCCACAAGCTCTTTAACAACGACTCCAATCTCAAACTGTAAACCAGCATCCGGTCCATCTTGGACAGCAACAGGGGGACCACCAACCACCGGAACGGAATTAGCGTTACCCAACACAACCAAGGGATCTTCTCCCATATCCAAACCAATCTCCTCACGCAATAGGTTTTGCATTTGCTGCGATTGAGGGTTTACTTGGAAGCGGCTGAAGGCAGCTGCCTCCCCACTATCTGTGTTCAACAAGTTGCGGAGACCATCGAAACGCGCATCCATAGAATCTTTAAGGTCAGCAATGGCCTTTTCAAGCCTCGCGCTGCCAGTACCCAGTGATTCCAAAACTTGAGCTGTTTCTTGAGCAATCTCCAATCGGAGATCCTTCAACTCTTCCAGCAGCTGCTTCTGGGACTCTGGATCCAGCCCTGAAAACGAGGAGAGCAAGTCACCACTGGCTCTGGCAGCCTCAAGTTGTTCTTTTGCAGCCTGGTCGGCATCGTACTTGACCATTGTGTCTGTCATTTTACTGCAGAACTCAGCCCACAGAGGGTTTTCAAAGAGTTTCGGAAGGCAATTACAGATTGCTTTATCTGATATTTCCAAATAGTTAGATTAAAAAATTTTGGCTATACTAAATATAACTCACAGTTGCGAGTTGGGTATAGCTTGTAGTGCATCAGCCAAGCCAGCAACTGCAAGACAGACTTCTTCATTTGAGGAATCAGCTCCCCAAAGAGCGTGAGTGTTTTTCTCCCGCCACGCTCTTTGATCTGGTCTTGAAAGTCGCAACGGTCAACGGTAGAGCTCCAAAGTGGGTGATTTTCATCTTTGACAGCATCAGCAAACTCAGAGGCTTCAGGGAACAGCCCGCACTCATTCAGGAGTTCATCTGGAACTTCAATATTCCAAGGCGCTCTGCAGATTCCCCCCCTGGCAGTAAAACCCGCCAGAACTCGGTAAACCTATCATATTGTTAAGATCAATTCAGATAGATAAACAGTACTTACGGCCATTGGAAAGTCCAAGAAGTACCGATTTTCGAAAGCACCGGACGTCTTGTCTCCTGTGAGCCAGCCAATAGCTTTGATGTCAGCAGCAGACACACCACATAGCCGCAAGTAGTAGCAAAAGGCTTTCCGTTTCAAGTGAGTGACCTTTCCGTCAACTTCCAGTCCCAACGCCTTCATCATTTTCTTGAAGGCATTATAATGAGACGACGTTGACATCGCCAACGTTTCGTAATCTCCAGGAAACAGCTTCATATCCCCAAAACCGCCTTTGTATCCATCCATCAACTTCCGCCACTTGTCCTTACTATCTTCAGTCGGATACATGTGCCGATTTTCAAATTCCATCAGTCCGAGAGTTGCGAACACATCAAACAACGCAAGACGATGTTGACCAAAAATCATGTAGCGCATGTCTGAAGCACCTCTAGCAGCAAGAGATCCCTGGAGATGTTGTAGTTAGTTATCGATCAATAACTTCATTTAAGATACTCACAAACATCTTGGTTCCAACCAACAACACCTTGAGCCCTTGCATCTTTGGAGGCTCAAACTGGGTCTCCGGGTCTTTACTTGTACAGGGAGCCATATAACTGAAAATATCGAACCATTCGATGGAACGAAGCTCTCCTGAGCGGCCCAGACATTGATCATTGAAGTTGGACATGGCCAAGTTTCGAAGTCCTTCACCCCCGTTGAATCTCCCAGAATGGAGGAAGAAAAGTTTCTCCCTCATACGATTCTCAGGATTTGTAGCAGCCTCCATCTGAGTTTCAAGGTTGTCGTGACGGTCAAGATCGTTGCTAACAAAAACATTATTTACATGATTGCATGATATCAAGTTGATTGAGAATAACTCACTGCATCTTTCTCATCACAGCTGCTTTCCGTTCTGCCTTAAGGAGCTGCATGTGCAAGGAACAGTTTTCCTCGCACCCATGCTTGACACTTGCATCGGCAGCAAGCTTGGACAACACCCCCATCTTCCCAAATATAACATGTCCTTGCTCCATCACCCCCTAAAAATATTTGAATGAAAAACCGAAAAGTTGAAATGGAAAAAAAAAAACTTACAATTTTCACACCAACACCAGCAACAGCAGCCATTGCATCAACAATCGCCACACCAACACGCTCCTCAGCTGTCATAGAAGCGTTGGCTTCATCAGCCTCAGCCTCCGCCTCCTCTTCTTCAGCCACCTCATCGTCCCCGAGTTCGAAGCCGTACTGGTCTGGAACTCGAGGATTCAACTTGGGCGCCGTCCGAAGCTGCAGCAAGAAGAAATAACCGTAAAGTGGAAGGAAGTTCCACTTGTAGTCCTTGTATTTCTCCTTGATTCCAGGGTCCTTAAGTTCCGCATTCGTCAGGTACAAATCCACCAACTCGAAGTAGCGACGCATATACATGAAAACAGAATTGTGTTGACGATCTGCCTTCATTCGGTCATTGTTCTTTGGGGTACAGACGTCGCAGATCCACTCAATCACAGTCTTGAAGTGGGCAACCTTGAGATGGTCTTGAGGGTTGTACGACTTCACAATAATTGTCACCAATTCTTCAAAAGCCGGATGCCCCCGAAAAAAGATTATGAAGATGTACATGTATGACCGTATATCTCCATAAGTGACCAAAGTTTCGATTCCTCCGACTGTCTCTGTCTTGTCAGCCCCTAAAATATTAAAAGTTAACATAAGTAAAGGGAAAAAGAGAGACAGATATTCACAGGAAATTGACAAAAATGGTAGTCGTTTTGAGCTACAACTGGAGCCCAAATTGTCAAAATTTTCTCCCGTGCTTCGCACGTTTGTACTATCCCGGGTTTCGCCTCGCTGGCTCGTACCTCGCCTGATCGCTCGGACTCAAGGGTAATTTTTTACTTACAGGTTTCGTCAATGAGAGTTTTCCACTTCCGACCCATGTCCCCTGCTTGTCCTTTCATCAACACTTTGGCGAACTGAGAGATTTCGTCAACTTTGAAGTCACTGTGAGGTAGCATCCCCGCCTTGATCCAGCCAGCTCGAGTATGAGGGAAGTAATCCTCAACCTTGTACTTCCGAGCAAGGACAGCATCCTTGGCGGCCTTGGCTGTAGCAGCAGCTTTATCCTTTTTCGACACGGGTCTCTTCGTCCTGCCGGATCCGCTGCTCTTTCGCTTGGTTGGTTCTCCATCAGAAGTTCCTTCGTCGTCAGACACAGGAACCGTTGGGATTGGGGCAGCAGCATCAGGAGCAACGTAGACGTTGGTGGAGCCTTTTGGACGGGCGGTCTTCTTGTGTTTCTTTGCGGCTGGCGAGGTGGATGGCGACGCACGGTCAGAGACACTTCGGGTTGATGGGAGAACAGGGCGCGGCGGAAGTGGGAGAGGTTCGTCGGCACCAGCCTGAGGAGCGGCAATACAGCCGTGGCAGATCCCAGTGTTGTCGTTGGCACACAGAGCTCCGGACCCGACGTGCACAAAGTGAACTTTTGCTGCTTTGCCTGATCGTTTGCACCGGTTGAGGACAGGAAGGCCTTGAGTTTGGTTGTGACGTCCCTTATAGAAAAGGTCTCCACACGTAGAGCACTAAAAAATAAATCATATCTTTAGTTTGAAGAAGAGGTGAATTAAATAATTAAATACGCACCGCCTCAACCCACTGTCCACCTTGGAACATCCAGCCCCGATACTGAAAGAGGTCCTGGTGTTTGTACCCCTGACGCTCGAGCCAGTCTGGGTGGACGGGTACTTGACCAACATACGGACCAGTTGGAGCGACACCGCCAACCACCGGCTCAAAAAATCCGTCGATAACGCGGCCTTGGGGAGCTAAAGCGGTGGCTGCGGTGTTTTGACGTGGTGAGCTGGTGGTCATGGCGGTGGTGGGGCGGCGAGTTGGTTTGGCTGGGGTGTGTTTGGGAGTTAAGAGAAGAAAAAAATTGTTTGGAACTTACATCTTGGAATAGCACGAATTGCAGTCACGACACCAACCATCGGATCGCCATCGGATTCCGATGATGACGCGTCGTATTCGTGGCCCTCAGCCGTCGATCCGAAGCAACCGATGGCGTGCGATGGAACTGGCTCGTCTGGATCGGTCGAACAACTCGCATAGTAGTCGTTCGTATAAGCGGCTTCCCATCGCGGCGTCCGATCGCTTCCGGTGCGCGTCGTTGGGAAGGCAGGTCGCATTGCGTTGGCGTAGCTTCGCTTCATTTGTGGTTGACGTTGGGTGCCTTTATGAATAAAGAATATGTTAATATCATTGAATATGGAGTCCACTTGACGTAATAGATATAACAAAGTGTTTACAATGCCATCGCGATCGGTGGCGTCAGTTTAGCCGTCAGGTTGGGGGGTGTACTATTTTGGTGTCGTGATATTTCAAAAATCATGGCGAAAAAATAGTTCAGGAACTATTTTTGCCCCGATCTTTTTGCGATATCACGACACCCAAATAGTACACCACCCAAAACCCACAAAAACGCCATTCCAACGCCCCCGAGGCAATAAAGAATATTTTAAAATGCCCCCCTTAAAGTTTGAACGCGGTGCCGATGGGCATTCTCCGTTGCCGCACCCTGGAATATTCCATTTTTGGGTGGTGCCGAAATTTTTATTGCCATGAACTATCGCACCACAACCCTTAGAGTTGGTTAGAGCGTGGTGCTAATAACGCCAAGCTCACAGGTTCGATCCCTGTATGGAGCATTTTGGATAGACACAATTCAAACTAATACATTAATAAAGGCTACACTGCGCAAGTGGACAACGGCCCGGCTAGCTCAATCGGTAGAGCGTAAGACTCTTAATCTTAAGGTTGTGGGTTCGACCCCCACGTCGGGCTACTTGTGGTTTCTAGAACAATTTTCTGTAAATTGGAGTATTAAACTGACATTCCAAAACCTGAACAGATGCCCTCCATTGATAAGGTGCAAGTGGGCTCGCATCAACCTGGCAAGTACCCTGACCCACTAGATTGGGGGTATGATTGGTTTTCACTATTAACCAAAGAAACCCAACAAAACCCAACTGACCCGACCTCCTTCCATTCTTCCAAACAGGTTTGTCACTTACAATAAGTTTGAGGTTCAATTTTTTTTGGTTATAACCTTCAATTTTTCTGTTTGCTATTAAAATGTCATTCTGCAATAGTTTATATGCATAAATTCTTAACTTTTTTTATTTTATTCTCATTCCAAACTATTTATTTCTACTTCTTTCCATACAACAGACCATTCCCCAAAGACCTGCAGGATAATCCTGACAGGTTTGGGTTTCACGTTTACCCTGACACCCAAATCCAAACAGTCAGCTTTGGGATGAAACCAACCCAACCCAAACCCAACCTGTTTGCACCTTATCCATTGCCCTCCAAAACAATCAATCACCACATTGTCCGATGGTGGTGAGTTCAACAACCAAACAACTTAAAGTTGACCCCTTCAATTCAACTAGCAGCTCAGCCCCATGCCCTACAACATCTTATATATTTCACCAAACAGCAAGATGTAGAACATTACTGCCTATTAATTCAATAAAACCTTCTTTTATTTCTTGATTGATCTTTGTCAAAGCCAAACTGTACAAGTGAGACTGCATTCGGCACAAAATGCAATTCATGTGCTGATGGCTGCTTTTGCCTTTCCAAAGTAACCTGCAGCTGACTAGTTGATATTGTGGAAGGAAACCCAGTAATTCTTGGAGGCATGCAGTGCCCTACAACACAAGCAAATATTGTTTGACTGGGATGTGTTGCTAACACCTGGTAAAGTTGTGTAGCTTTGTCTATGTGTACCTAAGAAAGAGTCTTATATGACAGCGGCAATTTCTTGTGGAGTAGCATCAGGGCGAGCTGTTATATTTGGACAAAATCAATATGTTGTCACACAAGTTAAATTAATTCCTTTAGCAGCTGTACATAAGTTACAAGAGCAAGGATCACAACTGGAAAGATTCCAAGACAATTCGATCTTGCAAATCCCACCTCTCACAAAATTGTTTAAAAACTCCACCAACACAACCTTGTTTCTACCCATACTATTATAAAGCCCAACTAACCCATAAGGTAATATATATTAGAAGATAAAAGAATGCAATAAGAACAAATATAAAAGAATGCAATAAGAACAAATAAAAATGAAGAAACAGAATTTGTTGAAACAATATATTCAGCTCAAATTCAATTGTTCCAAAATCTTTCTAACCATTTGCTTTTGTTTCCGATTCCACAGCCAGCTGCATTTATATAAAAATACAAAACTGAGTCATCAACATTTTCAAAAAAAACTTTCAAAGCTCTAGAGATAGATTTGATTTTAGATATAAATGATCAACTGAGTCAACCAAAACTCTGTTTTGGGATGCACATCCCAATTGATAACAATGGTGTAACTTCAGTAATAACACCCTTTCTGACAGCTTTCCAAAAAAAACTCTTATGTTAATAACCCTCCTTAAAAAACAGATTGGTCAAATGTTGCCACTAGTCTCTTGCACAGAGTATAATATCCTCCTCTGACAATTGATCCGGAGTCAGTTGACCCTACTGCATGAAAACATTGAAACGCAGAACTTAAGATGCCACAGCACAAAGAGTTATAGGAGAACGCTAAACTCAGTGGAACCTTTTTGGAGATAACAAGACTTTGCAAAGAGTTGCAGCATGTCATGACTACTTAATTTCAAGGCATGGGGAGAAAAAGCCAAAAACTACATTCTGCACTCTGTTGCTGAGGTTAAATTATAATAATTTTTTTTTGATAGTGCGTATTGGCGTCCCAGATAGTATAGTGGCTAGTATCCGCCCCTGTCACGGGCGAGACCGGGGTTCAATTCCCCGTCTGGGAGACTTTTAGCTAATCTCAAAAGTGTTTGAGTTGTGGTGCAGATTGTTTGAAAAGAGATTCCAGGATGCTAAACTTTGCAGTAGCCGGGATTCGAACCCGGGTCGCATGCTTGGAAGGCAGGCATAATAACCACTATACAACTACTGCCCTGATGACTTTGGTGCCATAGCAAATATTAAACTTATTTTACTGCTCTAGAAACTGTGGTATCATATTTGGTAGGTGACGCAGCACCGGAGGATCACAGCCACTAGATGTTGTATGGGCAAGTCAGTCAAAATGATTGCCAATTTGATTTTCTCTTTATAGGATAACAGAAATATATGAGAGAATCATTGTTTTGGCCTTGAGCTGAACCTGCATGTTTCTGATGTAAGTTGCTGTAGGGTCGCCATGACGACAGGACTACTTGTATGAACAGAACTTTGACTGCTGTTGATCTCAAAGCACCAATTGCTACATATACCCACTGAAATGCATGTAGCTATTCCACTGTCATTGATCCGTCCATCACTATTGCGACAACCACTGCAACGCTTATAGGTTTGTATGCTTATACCCCTTCTTTGTCATTTCATGACAAATTGATTACTCTTCAGTTTCTGCAGTTTGAGGCTTCTTTGCCAAAGTCCTTGAATTTGTTTCTGTGTCTACAGTGAAAAAACCCCATGGCCATATTCTTGGAGGGTCTGCTTTTGTTCAGTTCTACCAGTTTGTTGATCAGGGGCAGAAATTTTGATATGGAAGACCATATTTGACGTTGAGCAAAACAAAAAGCTTGATCAGGTTGGGTGAAGGAAGTAATGATGATACGGGAATTTCATCAAATGGAGGAATATGCAAAGCGGGGAGAAAAGCAACTACACATTACTTTCAGCCCAACTTGAGCTAACTCATTAAACATGCCAGCATTTTTGTTTATTGTTATTTAAAGGCGATTTTGTGCTTTGTTTTCAACACAACTGATTGCCTACCCCCCTTTGACACAACCGAGGCAGACTTTGAGAGCTTGCGGGGGTTTCTTAAACATACGCATTGCTTGTTCGCAGACTGTCTGTCAGTATCAAAGAGGTTCTCTCCTTCCAACAGGCTTCAATTTCTTCCAGAGTCAATTTGGCGGCTTCTTCAGGGAACTAAATGCTCCTAAACAGCACCAAAGCAACTTCATTTGGAGTCAAATTGACCCAAGTTTCTGAATCAGGGAAGTACAATGTTGGAAGTACTCCCCTCGGAGTACGGCGGCCAGAGTAAATAGGCACCACAACTCCAATAGAATAAGGGTGGTTGGACACATCCAAATGAGACCAGATGCCTTGAGCGCACTGTCGGCCAGTTGCAAAATTGGCTGTGAAGCCAGGGAAGAGGTTTTCAGCAGACCGGGCAACTTCCTGTTGTCGTGTAGTAAAACTCAGTCAAAACTAAGCAATTCAAAGCTCCATGCAAACCTCTTGAATAAGTCGAGTGCATTCTGTTGCTTCTGCCCCATGAACACTTTGCAGGCATACTGGGTTTCTTCAACCAATGGCCAAAGCCCGGGTATACACTCTGCCAACTCAGGATTCAAGTGCCCTTCCAAGCTAAAGTAATTGCTACTCAGTGTGGCTTGCTTTACTGATACATTTGGTTTGGTTATGCTGGCGTTATAGTGGATGTCCGCCTGAATAATAATGCAAAAAATATCAACTTCGGACTGGCAAAAACAAAGCAACACCAAATGCTGTCTTGTACTTTTCTCCACATACAGAGTAATTCCATTCCGTTTCGATGCTTGGTTGATTGTCTGAAGTTTGACAGCCTGGCCAAATGGTGTCGAACAGCAGTATACTTCACAGGATCCATGACAAACCTGAATCACACTGTCAAAATCCCACATGCGAAACAACAAACACAGGAAAACAGTAATACCAAGCATGTGATAGAGTGGTGCCGTCGTTATTGAGCACAACAGAGGTGCAAACATCTTTGGGCATCAGCAAGCCTCACAGCTCTCTTGAGGGTGTGCTGTACCCAGTGTCTTGTCCTTCTTCAAAGTCACTGTTGGGGAGCTGGTAAAAAAGGTAAGTAAAAGGGGGCAACAAAAGATATGACCCAGCACTACCTGTTGCGGCGGTAGCTCCTTCCACTTGCTGCATTGCAGCCGTTTTAAGATTTCCGGAATCGGAGTGGATGGGTTTGTTGCACCTTGCTTCTCCCCCACCAGTCCTATCCATTTTTTTTTGAACAAAATTTCGTTTGAATGTTCTACGAAAAAGCAATCAAAGAAAAAGGTACGTACTTTCCATTTGAAAACTCAGTGTTTGCCCTCAGTCGTTGATGTTATTGCCAACCAGACTTACGATCCCCTGCCTTGGCGGCAACGGCGTTTGTGATAAAATAGGAGTTTATTGCAAAAAGGAACGTACTTTCCATTTGAAAATAACTCAGCGTTTGCCTGCCCTCCATTACTTTCCGGTCGGCTGAGTCGTTGATGTTATTTTGCAGTGTTTGTGATAAAATACTAGTTTATTGCAAAAAGGTACATACTTTCCATTTGAAATTTCAATGAGCAGTGGTCATTGAAAGAACGTTTGGGACGTTGAAGCAACAATGGAGAATTCTATTGACTGTTCAAAAAGCCTCCCCCAAACAAGCATGTAAGTCTTCTTTGCCTGTGCCATCCTTCACAATATCTGTAACAGCCATGCAGACTCTGTTTTTTTGGATACATGAGACAACTATGAACACCAAGAAGCAAACTACACTCTCCTATTCCAGTTACTATCTCCAATGTGAATGCCACACTTGTTGAAGAAAGAAATGCAATGGCAGCTTGTCGTCAATTGCTTGCAGACAAGCTATATTATGAATAAAATCCAAGCTTAT